CTTTTCCTTCTAGATTTTTTTTCATTTGGCATCTACATCCACGTGAAAGGTAAAAAAATATCTTTGACCAGCAGGTCAGTGGAGGCAGGACAGAATGTACATTTATGTTTCTATTTTTGTCCTTACTAAAGGAAACGGCAAAAATAACTCTTTGCTGAGTAGAATGATAATAAAAAGAATAGAAAAAAATAACAGATTTCTTTTTGTCCATGTCTAATGCCAGTGAAACTATGGAAAGGGATGTATTTTCACAATGGTTATACTGTAAAAGGCCTAATAAGGAATATGTTTCAAGTTTTTTTTTGTAGAATCTGTAACATGCTGTCAAAAATAAGCACTGTGGCCAACAAAAGTTTTGTTTTGTTTTGTTCATCATGATAAATTTCACCAAAATACAACCGTCAGAAGTAAAAAGCTAATTGTAGGCTATTAACCAACTACACCAAGGTCACATGACTCAGCTTCTGACAACTTTTACAAACTGTATTTTTAAAAACATTTTCTTTGAAAGTTTGAGTTAGAATAAAAGTGGTGGACTAGTAGTTAGATGAATTTACCTGTTCGGTTTGACATTTAGTCATTTGTTGGCAACCTCTTTTTTCAAGACAAACTAAATCACAAGAGGGTATTACTTACCCTTATGAAAATTAACCATGGTTTTACCACAAATAAAACCAAAAAACCATGCAAATTAACTATAGTTTAACCACAGTATTTGTAGTAAAACTGTGGTTATACAAATGGTAATCAATACGTCAAAAAAACATGGTTACTCTACTTTTACTACAATAAAAACATGGTTAATTTTCATAAGGGTATGTATTTTATATTGTAAAATAAAGCATGAAAATATCTTGAGCTTGTGTTCACCACAGACCTTATTTCAGGCATTTAATCAAAAATACATTGACTTTAGGACAATGGAACTAGAAGTGCTAAAATGCTGACTTATTTCAAGGGTTTGACCTACAACAATACATCATCCCTGCAGCACTGTATTAGCATGCAACAAACTTGATTTGAACTCTGAACATTCCTTAAAGTCAAAAAGCATTTCCAACCCATTTAACTTGTAATGTAACATTATTTTGGAGTGAAACAGGATATTGTATGATGGATTTATATTTTATCTGTCCAATTCATTTAAACGGATTGTTCACAAAATGAAAATAAAATTAATTATCATTCATATTGATTAATCATTATTCACCCTTAAGTTGTTCCAAACCTTTTTTTTTTCTGCTGAACACAAAAGAAATTATGAAGAGTGTGGGTAACCAAACAGTTGCTGGTCCCCATTGACTTCTAATAATATACTCGTCTATATACTAAATATACTCGTCCAGAGAAGAAGTTAACTCAAGTGGGAGTCGTTACCCAGCTGCTGGTTCATCCTATGAAGTCTGGGAAAGCAGCGTTGGTGGAGACAGCAGAATGTCTGCGAATGGGGCTGAAATATGGCGAACTGCGGGATCGGTGAGGTTTTGAACGCAAATATACCAGTATACGCTAATAATTGTACTTTATTTTTTTTTCTGTAATTATGTGACGCAGCACAATTTGTGAATTCCGTCTCGTGCAAACGTATTTTGGAGCCCCTAATGCAGGTAGCCAATATGTCTTTCTTAAATCGTTTTTACACATTTTTGTTTTGTCTTATAAAATGTAAATGTGAAATAACACTATGAAAATGGCAGTATTTATATTCTGATGAAATACCGTCTGATAAAGTTGCTAACGGAAAGCGCTGGAGCGGTCTGTTGCTGCTAGTTTGTGTATTAGCGCTCTGATAACTTTTGTGGCTACTTTGAAAACTTAAAAAATATAAGTACTTGTATTTAACAGAATACGCACTATTGTCTGTCTTTGTTTTGACATTCTTTGGAAGGGTACAAGCTAGGCTTGTAAAGGTATGAGATTTTTACGGTACGATAATCGTATCAGAAAATATCACGGTTAGCACGGTATACATTAAACAATAATTCTTATCAGTAACAATGACTCTTAAAAGAACAAGAACAAGTTATTTGAGTGAACAAATCCTTTACTACAACAAACGAAACAATTTTAATGAAAGTATTGAATCCCTTCTGAAAAAAAAAATAAAAAAAATAACAATAAAAAATAAAGCTGTACACCTTATGTATATCTATATCACACTTTAACATTTTAATTAATGTTTTAAAATGTTTTTAAATGAAAATTTACAACAACTTTTATTTTTGGCAAGGTTAAAACATGGACAAACATGATATTCCTTGAAAACAATGTTTAAATAAATTATTTTATTATAAAGAATAATATTATTGTTGTTATTATAACTTTGAAGTACATTGTACAATGCTAATATATTTCTGTCATAATTTCAAATTAAATCGAACGTTTATTCTGACGGGTTGTAGTGGACCTTTGAGTTTCAGAGTGTATTTGACAATGGTTTTTCTCAAATAAAACTAGGAAATGTTTATTTACGTTTTCTCTCAGAGCAGCTCTGCTGATGTTCATGTTTGTATCTTAGACGCTGAAAACACCATTTATGTAGCCTATGCGTACTTCAGTATGCAGTAGATAAAACGGCGCCACTCAGAGACATGCAGAAACGAGCAGATTATTCATATAGCAGTCTCTTTGTGCTTTAATATCACAGCAGGGCCGTCCTTAGCTGACGCGGGGCCCGGTGTGAGGTAGGGAGCGGGGCCCCCCGCGGTCCGTTCGCAATCGCGTTCCAAATCACAATCTAGCAAATATGTAACTGCTGCCCCCTCAAGCAGGGGGCCCGGTGCGACCGCACCAGTTGCACCCCCCTAAAGACGGCCCTGATTCACTTACATATATGATAACTACTTTCGATTTATCCATCCATCCGATTGCGTGTTTTACGTGATATCCTCGTTATACTGTAAATTCCATGTTCACGACTGCACCG